GCTGGTTTTGAGCTCCTGGTCCTCCTGTGTCTACTTCCTAAGTGCTGGGGTTACAGGTATATGCCACTAAGCCTAGTTTCAAGTGCATGACTCTTCATTTGCTTTCCTCACAATCACCAACATCCATGGTTGTGGGCATACTCCTGTAAGTAACTGCTCAGGTTGTCCATTCTACAATGATGTGTGGAGGTAGTGTTCCTTCATTTCTTCATTCTTGTTTGTTGGTTCTCATTCATTCATTTATTCATTCACAAACTCATTCATTTTAACAGTCTATAAAAAGTAGTGCTGTTGGGAAGCAGAGTTAGGCAGACCTTTGTGAGTTCGAGGCCAGCCTGGTCTACAGAGCTAGTTCCAGGACAGGCTCCAAAGCAATACAGAGAAACCCTGTTTCGAAAAACAAACAAACAAACAAACAGTAGCTCTATACTTAACTGTAGTAGCTCTATAGGGCAGAATGGCCCTTGAGCCACTTTCTGTGTAGCTTTAATACTTGGAAACTGTCACTCAGTAGTTCCTCACATCAACTCAGGGTGATTAAGGAATACCTTAAATTTAATTAGTTATTAGTTTGGTATAGATAACAACTAAAACATTTCCTAAATTCTGGCTTTTATGTCTTTTGGAGATTTTTTTTTTTTTTTTTTTTTTTTTTAAAGACAGAATCTCACCGGGTAGCTCTAGCTGGCCTGGAATTGGTTATGTAGATCAAGCTAGCTAGCATGAAACACAGTGATGCAGCTGCTTCTCTTTCCTGATGCTGCCATTAAAAGTGTATGTCACCATAGCGGGTCACCTCTCAGGGCATTTGTGTTATTGTATGTGTATATGTGGATTTATGAAGGTAATATGTGCACATTGTATGACATCTCATGCAGACCATGTGTGATACAGAGAGCAAGGGGGGTGCCCAGCGACTAGGAGCATCCCTCTGTCACCCCCAGACCAGGTCAGGCCACTATTTCCCTTCCTGTTTCTGGACAGAACATTACCCATGCTGTATTTTTATAGACGATTTAATGTAAAGTAGCATGAATCTTGTTCGGGAGCTCAAGTTTTTCTTCTGTGCATAATTAAGTGTATTTAAAATGATTTAAAATAAATTATGAGTCATACCTCAGCCTTTCTTTACCAGTGAAATGAAATGTGATGTGTCAAACTTGAGTTAAATCTATAATCTCCCTGGATGTGCTTTTGACTTGCTTGTAAGGAAGGCAGGCGGGCAGGCGGGCAAACTGGAGCAGCTTCGTACGCCATATTGACATTCAACAGTGAGAAGGACAGGGTAGGGAACTGATGCCAATATGTTCATCCCAAACTGCAATAAAGCTGTCCTAGCAACTGCAGTCCCAGCTGCCATTTCCCTGCCCTTTGGGCTAGAAATGTGCCATTCAGACCCTTTACTCCCCTCTACAAATATGCCAGGCTTCCATGAAGGGCTGTTTTTAAATATCAATATAATCAATTTTAGGTTTTGAGGACAAAAATCCCCACACAAGTTAAGGGATTTATTTGGAAAAAAAAAAGAGATGACAGCTAAGTTTTATTCCACATGAAAATTACCAAATAGAGCTAGGCTGTGGTGGTACACACCCTTAATCCTAGCACTTGGGAGGCAGAAGCAGGCAGATGTCTGTGAGTTCAAGGCCAGCCTGGTCTTCAAAGCTACACAGAGAAACCCTTTCTCAAAAAAATCAAAAAAAAAAAAATGCCAATATCATAATGTGAATTTAGCCCTCAGGTTAGTTTTTCAATGCTTTGTTGAAGATGGCTTTCTTGAAGATGATTGACAGATCAGATATTGGAAAAATATCTACCTCTCCCTCCTGTACCTGCTTACTTACTGCCAGGGATGGCAGATGTAAGTCACAGCTAGACAAGTATCATGTCACTGTGACGCCACATCTGGCCTACCTCGTTTTCCCAATGGCTACAACCTATCTGTCCATGAGTACCTTCCCAGGATAGGAAGGGTCACTCGGTCCACATGTTTGGCAACAAAATAAGCAATAAAGTGAGGAAGGGTGGGGCTTTAAGACTCCACCCTGGGTAGACATTACTTCTTCATGGTAAATATCCCTCAGACAAATGCTTACCAAAAACAAACAAAAAAACCCTTAGTTTATATTTCTAACAGGTGATACCAAAACAGGCAATACATGAATCCTTTGAAACAAAAGCGGAAGGAAACAAAAGAGGGGTCACAGTCACCTCAACTGTTATGAGACTTCTGTGTTTCAGCTCTGCCTAACCTACCAAGTGTCAATTAAAAAAAAAAAAAAAGCCAATCCTAGAAAATCAGAGAATTAAAATTTAATAATTAATTCACAAGGACGTTCCTGTCTATGTTGAACATAACTCAATTTAAAATGTATATTGGCTACCCATCCATGGCTTTCACAGAGTAGCCTGCCAGAGGCCATTAGCACACAGCCCTCACAAATGGAGCAGCAGGGCTAATCCAACAGCTATCCTTCCAACGGGGCTGCACTTGCTCAATTCACTCAGCAGTTGGCAAGCTTCTTTACCCTCTGAATCCTGGTCACTGCCCCTCGGAATAAGATCTGGAACCATCCGAAGGCATCATGATTTAAAAAAAAAAAAAAAAAAAAAAGAAGATGTCTTATGTTGGGTGGGATGTGCAAACTCGAATGCCGAAAGAGTGCTTCAGTACTGTCAGGGTGTGTTGCATTTTATTTGGGAAATGAGGGGAAAAAAAAAATCTTTCCATGATCAGCCACTCCATGTGACATCCCAGCCCACACTCTGCTACTGACATTTCATCTCCCACTGAACAGCCTGGCTGTTGTAACATTTTCAGGGTTCTTAAATTGTGTCTTGCAGGATCTAAAATCGGAAGGCAGGGACTTCAAGAAAATAACCAATGTTGACAGGCACCTTTATGTTTCAAGAAGCTGCCACACCTTAATTATGCTAGAGGTTAGGGAACATTCTCTCCCACTTCCTCCAAAATATGCCCCGAAGATAGGAGGGGATAAAGACTGCCCTGAACCATTCAGTTTTCTTTTTCCATATAAATCTAGGGAAAAAAACAAAAACAAAAAAACCTTTCCTTTCATCCAATATTGCTAACAAGCTTATTGTTTTTTTCTTAGAATAAAGAATTCCAGCATTTGTTTGAGAGGAATTGGAGCAGTGGTTCTCAACCTGTGGGTCGTGACCCCTCGGGTCCCATATCAGATATTTACATTATGATTCATAGCAGTAGCAAAATTACACTTATGAAGTAGCAACAAAATGATCTTATGGTTGGAGGTCACCATAACATGAGGAACTGTATTAAAGGGTCACAGCATTAAGGAAGGTTGAGTTAGAGTAGCCAAGATGTGATCATGTTAATTAAGTAACCATGGTAATTAAGCTTCTTAACTATAGCCAGGTACTGTGAAAAGGGGAAAGAACCAACAGGCATAGGTCATGAGCTTAGCACAGTTTTATAATTTCCTGAATGGTTGAGTCTCAGACCATGAGTGAGGAAGACAGGGTAATGATGGATTTTCCTTCATCAAGGAGGCAAATAAAGTAGCAAAGAAGGGGTCATGACTGGACTCAAATCAGCTGTGGGGAAACTGGAACTCAAACTGAAATTGCAATTATTATTATTATTTTAACATTATAAACTATGGCTTTGTAAAAGGCAGTAACTTGATTGGCATGTCATCAGAAACTGCCAGAATCTTTGTTGTCCATGGTATTAGAGGTGCCGAAAACAAAGACAAAATTATATCCAGTGTATATCCTGCCTGTGTATATCCTGGCTCTAGAGCTTTCAGCCTCCATCCTTTTCTTCATAGAATGGATTTATATATATATTTATCTGTAATACAGCGCTCAGGGTACAGAATCTTGACCCTGATCTGATGACTAACTCTGCCACTAATTGCTGACCTCAGTGAGTTGCTTCTCTTCCCCCCCCCCCCAAATCCTGGCATATTTTCCTGTACTGTAAAAATGGAGATGGCCCCAGTGCCTGCTTCATAGGGTTGTTTGGAGATTCAACACATTTATGGAAAATTCTTTGTCAAGCTTAGCACAATCTATCCATTAGTCAACTTACATTTACAATGTAGTATATATAAATCTATAATGTGCGTACAAAGACTTCTGGTTAGACGATAGAACTGAAAGCTCGCTCCATCCCTGGAGAGTAAGAAATCAGTACACTCCATTTATAAGAAAAAGTTTTTGACACACGGTGGAAGCTTGAAATCACTCCACATTGCACTGAGTACCACTATAACCGTAGAGATTTCACAAGGGTTTCCAGTTACCTCCCCTGCAGGTGTTTATCCCAAAGGACAGAGGCCAGGAAAGAGATGAGCAACCAATCCCCATAAATGCAGATGACAGTAAATTCTCACTCTCAGAAGGTGCAAAATGTACACATAAGTGCCTTAAATTTAGGTTAAGTGTATGCCCTCCACATGAAGCCTGAGTTCCTCCCTCGTTCTCCCTCCCCTTCTCTTTCTCCTCCCTCGCTTCCTCCTTCCCTTTCTTCTCTCTCTTTCCCTCTCTTCCTTTTCCTGTCACTTTCTTAGTACGAGAGGCAATTCTCAAGTTCCTAACAGCCCTAGGTACTTAAGACCCCTCAACAGATACAAAATAACCCTCAACTGGACTCAGGATCCAGACCCCGCCCCAGTCGCAGGTCCCGCCCAATGCCGGATCCCCTCCCAGCAGCAGGCCCCGCCCCAGTGGCAGGCCCCACCCTGTCCGACTGTGCTGCTCTCAGCTGCCAGCTTGGTCCACAGGACGCTTGCGCATTTATCAAAACGTCTCGGCACTGCCCGCCTCTAAATGAGCGGCAGAGAGATGCCTGCGTCTTTCGGAAAGTCTCAGCACGGCCTCTTCCCGTGTCCTTTTAGAGCTGGTTTTCGTCTCACTGTCTTGAGAACGCGTTTTGTTTCCTTGGCATGGCTTAAGGGAGCACGTTTTCATTCAGGCGCTCCCTGGGCAGTCCGCATCCCGGATCAGGGGTCCTGCGCCGAGCTTTGGGCCGGCCAGAGGGGAAGCGGGGTCCTTCCTTAGGGCGGTCGCACAGGCAGCGGCTGTGTGAAGCCGGTTTCGGGCAACATGTACTACAAGTTTAGCGGCTTCACGCAGAAGTTGGCCGGAGCTTGGGCCTCGGAAGCCTATAGTCCGCAGGTACGAGTTGTGCCGCACCGCCTCTGGCGGGAGAACGGCGGCCCGAGGCAGGCATTCGCCGGGTCTGAGCCGGGAGAGGCTGCTGCCGGCCGATGGGTTCTGCTTGCTGGTGTCTCCCGGTGTCTGCCCGCACTGCCTGGTAGCAATCGCCCAGGCTTCTCTGTGTACAGTGCACCCTAGGCAAGGTTTTCCTGGCACACATGTTCCGTTTGATACCCTAAGGGGGTCAAGGTGACCCCTGGGGTGGCTCGCTGCTTAAGATGGATTTCCCGTGGAAGTCTGTGGTGCAGAGAATGCGACTTGAGTTCGGGTTCCAGCTCTCTTTGTGACTTCCCATTGTTACCCCTGTCACAGCAACTACCGAATGGAGGAATGGGAAGGGCGGAATTGAGACGCTTGCCTGTAAGGCGGATTTCTTCAAATACAAGGGAAAGCATGGCAAATGACACGCAACGAGGTTTACCCTTTCGTTAATTATAAAGCAGCAGACGGTGACCGTTGCGCGAACTGACATTCAGGCTCTACTTAGAGCCTACCAATGGTGTCCAGCTTCGGTGTTGTGAAAATGTGGTATTTTAGATCCCCATTCATATTGGGTTGGTACTGAATTTATTAGCCTTAATTTTGTGACCTTGACTGCTAACTTTTTGTTGTGAGCCCTTTTTGATTTTGGGTAGCATTAAGCTGGGTTAAATGAGGTATGTGTCAAAAGGGCAGATTTTTTTTTTTTTTTTTTTGGCAGATGGTGCTGGATAAATGCTATATGTTTTCCAAAAGCTGCAGTTGATACCCTAAAGGGGTATTGCTTAGAGCAGTGTGTGAAGGCTTGGAAAGCTTGGTGGAACATGAAGCTGGAAAACCTTGAATAGAATAGTAAATGACCGGTATGGGCTGTAGAGGATACTCTGTGTGTTATTATTGCCTCCTTTCTCCTGCTGTGGGACACTACATCTTGGTTAAGAGGAGAGCGTTAAAGTATGATCAATCCGAGATTAAATGAAGGATAAAGGAGGTCAAGAAGGGCTGAATTTGCTCTTAGGGGAGAACGAAGAGAAGTCTTGGGATTTTAGGTATTGAGCATATGATAATATGTCGTAGCAGCCGAGTTTATGAATATGTTGTTTAATAGGCCAGGCTATTTTCAACCCGTAGTTGGTAGGAGGCTTTTTGCTGACAGAGAGGTCAGTATGTAAGGAAGAAAGAGACTGTCCTGTTATAGAAATGTGAAGGGAAATGAGGAAAATGTGTTGAAAGAACAGTTCAGGGCTAGAAAAGCCTGCTAATGTGTCATTAAATTCCAGTGCGATGAGTTGTAAAGAAAAAAATTGCCAGCATGTTGATTGACTTTTTGTGCAGAAGGTGTAGGAAAGTGCTGTTTTCATTGTGTCCTTTTTTGTTATTATTTTTTCAGACAGGATTTCTCTGTAGTTTTGGAGTCTGTTTTGGAACTCACAGTGATCCTTCTGCTTCTGCCTTCTGAGTGCTGGGATTAAAGGAATGCACCACCACCACCCAGCTCATTGTATCTCCTATGGTGTATTTTCAGTGCACCGATCATATGTTCTTGTTAGGGAAGTTTTGGCATGCCTATGCCATGTAACCCATTCCTTTATTAGTATGCAGGTCATTAATTATATCACCTTTAGGAAGGTCTCACATACTCCCCTATTAAAAATCCCTGTCTGTCTTCCCATTTTGACGTTTATAGGTATAAATAGTTTTGCTTATTTTTAAAAAATAATTTATTTTTATTTTGTGTGCATTGGTGTTTGGCCTGCATGTATGTCAGTGTGTGGGGGTGTTGGATCCTGGAGTTAATAGACAGGTGAGAGCTGCCATGTGGGTGCTGTGAATTGAACCCAGGTCCTCTGGAAGAGTAGTCAGTGCTTTTAACTGCTGAGCCATCTCTCCAGTCCAAGTTTTGCCTATTTATGAACCCCCTGTAAACCCCTCAACATGTACTCTCCTGTGTAAGGCTTATTTTAAATGTTCTTTTGAACATTTAAATGTTCCCTACTTATATGAGTGTTATCTTATGTCACAGTTTCTCTTGTGATGGTTGTAAGATACGCTTTTTAAATTTTTTTTTTTTTTAATGTGTGTAGGCGTTTTGTCTAACTGTAAGTCTATGTTCCATTGTTGTTACCTGGGGCCTGCAGAAGCCAGAAGGGGTTCCAGATCCCCTGGAAACATAGTTAGAGACAATTGTGAGCCACTGTGTGGGTGCTGGGAATTGAACTTGGATCCTATCCAAGAACAGCCGGCGTTAACTGCTGCACCCTTTCTCTAGTCCTGTAGATTTGCCTCTTATGGAGTTGAAGCATAATCTATTGCTTTAAAGGAGAAAGGAAAATATTGACTAAGTGACACTAAAATACCATTGACATTCACAGTAAGGGAATACCTAAAGGTACTCCTGATATAGACAGGACTTTCGAAGTTTTTGGCACCCCTTGAATTAAACTTTGCCCTAGTATTAGAATTTCTAAGTTACTTAAAGCTTCTATTTTTAAAGTTCTGGCAATCAAACCCAAGACGTCATACCTGCTAGACAAGTACTTTACCACCAAGCTGTATTTCCAGCTCATTTAACGTTTTCTTAGGCTGTGTTGAAAGAAGCAGTTTGGGATGGGCATTATATGAATTGTAGTTTCAGAGTGACTGTAGGGCCTCATGACCACTGTAGCACCAGGGAAACCAGGGATGTAAAGGTAGCAGGTGTTTCTCTTTGATTTCTGCCTGGAAAGCTGTGAATGGATCTATTTTACTAACCTGGTGATCTGTAGGGCCAGGCTTCCCCTGAATCCCCCAGACTTCTGAACATTGTTTCTCAGTTAGTAGAACCCACTCTTATGAAGGAGGTCCCAGGTATTTTGCAAAAGAATCTACTGCTATAATTAATCCAGACCCTTATCCCAAGAACTGTTTATCAGTCAATAGAACCCATTCTTTTGGAAGAGTTTATAGGTATTTTGCAAAAGACACGTACTTGCCAAAGCCGTGTAGTCATACCTTAGCTCTGTTGTAATAATTGTCAGGAGGAAACTTTGAAAGTTGTTCTGTGCTTGAACGTGTCAAAAATAAACTGCTGTGGGGGGGGGTTCAGACTCTAGAAGTTTGAACCAATACCAGCTAAGTTGTGTTGGACTGGATTTTCTTTTACCTCACTTGGATCACTGTAGTGTTTACAGGAACCCTTCCAGGATCCCTACCCCCAACTTGGTGCTCTGATTCTGATAATTAGTAGTATTTTGTCTTCCTTTCTTGGACACAGTGGGTTCACTGTAAGATGAAGACGTTTGTACCATTCAGTGTTACTTGAAGTGAATAAGTAATATGCTTTAAATAGCCAAATATGGAAATGCTACTTCTGTAACAATAACACAGAGATTTGTAAGTCAATTTGATGGCAGCTAATTGTTGGGGAACTATTTTATAGTGACTGATTAAAAAGCACCTGTCTTTCCTTTTTGTGGCATATTCCACAAATAAATTGAGGCACATGAAAAGGTGCTTGACATTACTAGTCACCTGCAGTGAGGTACCACCTTATGTCTGCCCGGAGTCAAAAAGACAGACAACAGCTTATAGAAGTGAAGATTCACGGAAACCAGACGCCCACTGCATTGCTGGAAAGAACTTAAAATGCTGCAGCCACTGCCAGTCATTGGTGGTGTACACCTTTAGTCCCAGCACTCAGGAGGCAGAGGCAGGCTGATCTCTGTGAGTTCGAGTCCAGCCTGGTCTAAAGAACTAGTTCCAGGACAGCCTCCAAAGCAATACAGAGAAACCCTGTCTCAGAAAAACAAAACAAAAGTCTGCAGCCACTAATACAGGTTGGTAGAGTCTTAGTTAGGATGTTCGCTGCTGTGATAAAGACCATGACCAAAAGCACTTTGGGGAGTTTTATTTTGTCTTAAACCTTCCAGTCACACTCTATCACTGAGCAGAAACTGAGGCAGAGCCACAGTGGTTCTCCACGTTCCTGATGCTTCCACCTTTTACTTCAGTTCCTCCCCCAACTGTAAAATTATTTTCATTGCTGCTTTAGTTGTAATTTTGCTACTGTTATGAGTGGTAATGTAACTATCTGTGTTTTCTGATGGACTTAGGCGACCCCTGTGAAAGGGTCATTTGACCCCTAAAGGGGTGTGACCTACAGGTTGAGAACACAGAGGAACACTGCTTGCTAGCTTTCTCCTTTCTCATGGCTTGCTCAGTCTGCTATCTCTCAGCGCCAGGGAACACCAACGCAGGAGTGGCGCCACCTACAGGCCAATCTGATGGGGGCATTTTCTTAATTGAGAGTCCTCCTTCCCAGATTGCAGCTGTACTGTTGGCATAAAATCAGCCAACATAGGTAGTTTCTTAAAAGGGGAAATGCAGTGTTACCGTATGACCAGCAATTCTAGTGTTTTACAGTAGAATGATCATCTAGGTGTGGGGGATAAGGGGAAAGAGGAGTTGAGTAAGTTTGGCTGTGGAGGTGAATCATGAGGAGCCTGTGATACAATAACTACATTTTGTAAGAAATTAGTAGGCGATCGGATGCAGACAATTGGGGTAAAATGTCCTACTGACGAGTGGCGTCCTGGGGATGAGGAAGGGGTATCCAAAGAGACATGGGAATGTGAGAGTGGTGGTGCTCTCCTTAGAGACGGGGAGTGGGTTGATAGTGAATTTGTGGCATTTGGAGTGTGAGGTGGCAGGGGGACATGGTGATAAAATGATCTGAGCCACTGAAGATTTAGCCTAGTTTCCAGCCATACATCGGGGTGAACATAGAAAAGCTGTCTTTTTACATATTTATGTGTATGCGTGTTTTACCTACATGGATGTATGTATGTCACATGCATGTCTAGTACCCACAGAGATCAGGAGAAGGCATTGGATCCCCTGGAACTGGAGTTAAGGATGGTTGGGAGCCACCTTCCCTTCAGCCCCCATTAAAACATTTTTTTTAAATGGGGATAATTTTCTCCGTCCACCCTCCTCAGTCCTGAAAGAAGAAAATGCTGAGCTAGTCAGCTTAACCCTTTCAGCTGGAGGTGGGAGAGGTGGCTACTCCATCAAGTAGCTCATACTGCTGTCCCAGGGGACCGAAGTGGGGCTGTCAGTACCCAAGTCCTGTAACTCCAACCTCAAGGGATATGATGCCGTCTTCTGGGCCTCTCAGGCACCTGCATTCACGTGAACACAGATGGCTACCCCCTTCCCACCATTCACACATGCAAAATCATTATTTAAAAATAAATCCTGTTGTGTTTTGTTTTCAATTTGAGCTGGGTAGGCAGTGGGGCAGCACTGTCAAACCCACCGCTGCTCACACAATCCTTGATAACCCTGATCTGACAGTCCTTGATAACCCCGATCTGCGCCTTTAAACATCGTACACAATTTCCAACAGTTAGAGGCTGGAGGAGGTGTGGTCAAGCATTTGTTTAGCATTCTTGTGGCAGGCCCTATCTTCAGTTTCCGCCACACATTCCTTCCTTGCTTTTTAGCAATTGAACAGGAAGAATGTAAGTGTTGTAGACTGTTTTGGGGTAGGGGTTATGTGCAGTGGGTATGAAAAAGTAAAGCCCTGTTTCTCTCAGTTTAAAGGACCTTCCAGGAGCTTCCCCCTTGCTACAGGAGTGGAGGCTCTGCCATGGAGTTCCAGTTAGCCTTCAGTTATGAGTCTACTTTGTGGTGAAGTTGTAGCCTTCCTTAGTACAGTTACATAGTTGGCAAATGTGTACGGAAGGTGCTGTAAATCAGTTGCTTTTGTTAGTCTTGTGAATATGATTAGTGACCAAAACATGCTAGAGTCCTGCATTTGTGGGGTGTCTGTTGCACAAGGGGGAGGTGGTAAATAAAGGAGGATATAGCATGTTTGATGGTGGTTAAGTGCTGTGGACAAGAACAAGGCATGAAAGTGGGCTAGCTTGTTTGCAGGGTTGGGAGGGGGACATGAAGTTTTAAAAGGGGCTGATAGAGTGTGGTGCTGTAATCCTATCACTTGGGAGGCAGAAGTAGTAGGATCAAGAAAGAGTTCAAGGCCAGCCTGGGATACATGTGCGTTAAGGGCCAACTCATGATACATGGACCTGGCTTAAACAAACAAAAACCAGATAAGGTGTTTTGGAAAAGTTTCCCAGGGTGATGCAAGAAGGTGAGAAAGCACAAGCCATGCAGAAATAAATCTGAAGGCCATTCCAGGAGAAGAAATATGCTTCCAGTCAGAGGGGCTTATAGGGGTATGGGTGGTGGTGGGAGGTTAAGGAGGAGGATGGGGCTGAAATGGGTAAAGAGTAGAGTGCACTGTGCAGAACTCTATTTCAACAGAGCTACAGAGCAGACTCCAGGCAGCGAGTGTGGAAGCAGAGTGCAGTTAGGCTGTTAAATCCAGGTGTTGAACTAGTAATTCCAAGGTCTGGAACAGCTGACATTCCTGGCTGGTCTTTGAGCGGACCCAGGTTCATCCTCAGCATCAGAACCTCCACTTCCAGGGGATCCTGTGTTCTTTTTCTGGTTTCCTCTGGTGGCAGTCACATAATGCATAGACATACATACATACATGTAAAGCCACCTCCTAGTCTAGCCAGCTTTCCAGAAGCCCAGTGCTGGCTAGCTCTCTGCCTGCAAACTGGGGCTGTTGGGAGACTTAGCATGTGATGACAGGGAGGTGAAGCACCATCATACACTCTTCTTACCAGCCGACTGCGCTATTAATGGGCAGGATAGTAAACACAGCTGAGGCTCATTGAGGAGAATGCACACTTCATAAGAGTTGATGGAGCAAGACACCGAGGTAACTTAACAATCTGTATTTGAATTTTTATAGTAAGTATATGAGATTATTAAAGCTGTTGAAGCAGCTGATGATCTCGGGCGTGCCCGGTGAAGAGTAAGTGGCAGTCATGCCTGGTGAGTGAGTGAATGAGTGCATTGCCCTAGATAGGCCATTTCTGCGCCAGACCAACTGTGCTTCAGTACATTTGGTTGGTTGGCTTTGGTTTAGAATTAATGCCTGGTGAGTGGAGACAACATTAGTGGTTTTTTTCTTTGTAATTCGTTCTTACCTTCCTGCCTCTCTCTGCATTGATGTTTTAAATACCTGATCTTTCGGTCTTGTTGGTTATAGATGAATTCCTTTGAGAAGTAAGAAGAGGATAGGCTGGAAACTTCTTTCAAACATAACATTTTAATTTTCCTAGTTAGAACTTTAAGAGATGATTTCACTGGCTTGTAACTCTTAAACTTCAACTTCAGTACGCAGTGTTATTTTGGAGAATTGTCTGCGCGTGTTGCTTTGCGCCTTCAGATAAAAACAAGAGCTCCCTTTGGTTTTGGTTTGTGTGTTTGTTTATTATGGTGCTGGGGCTGCACCTGTTAAGCAGGCACCTTGATATGACCTACATCCTCAACCTCCTGCCCTTAGGTTCTGAAAGAAAGAAAAAGAAAGAAAGAAAGAAAGAAAGAAAGAAAGAAAGAAAGAAAGAAAGAAAGAAAGAAAACAGCCGTGAGGTGGTGGCATACACCATTAATCTCAGCATGCCTCTGATCCCAGGGAGGAAGAGGCTGTCCTGATTTTTATATGGAGAGTTCCAAGACAGCCAAGGCAAAACACTGTGAGAAACCGAAGCAACAGCAAGGCAGCCTTTGGTTCCAGCACTCGGGAACGGTGGCACATGCTTTAGTTCCACCTCTTGGGAGGCAGACAGGTGGATCTCTGTAAGTCTGAGGCCAGCTTGGTTTACACAGCAAATTCTAGGCCACTCTGTCTCAATAAAGCCAAACAAAAGATTTATTTTTATTGTTTTTAACTGTATATGACTCTGTGTGGGTATATGCACCTGTGTTTGGGTGCTTGTGGAAGTGAGAGATGTGACCCCACATTGGGTGCTAGGAAGTGAACTTGTGTCCTCTGCAAGAGCAGTGCATGCTGTTAATGACTGAGCCATCTCTGCAGCCCCCACAGTTAAGTCTAGGATAATTGCATAACTTTAAAAAGAACTGTCCTCTTCAATTAGCACCTTCTTACACTCCTGCTCTACACAGCCAGTAATCTTCTATTGCTAGAGCTGTCTGTTCTGCACTGCTGTTAATGAAATGGGTGTGTGTGTGTCTAGTTCAGGAGCATCCCCAGCCTATACAAGGTACTGGGGAGTGAGCTCAGGCCTTTGTACAAGCACAAGCACTTTACTGACTTAGATTCCTCTGCATTAGAGCATTAGTTCAGATGAGAAGAGGACAGCAAGGTCCTTGTAGACACAGTACTTCTTGAAGCTCACATTGGACCTTTCTAGCTCACTGTTAGAGTTCTTGACAATTTGCTTTGGGAAAGTAGTTAAAGGTGTGTGTCAGAGGGTTGAGAAGCACCCAAAGCCTTCATAATACAAGTGATAGAGACCCTGCTCCTTCCCTTATATAGTTAGTGCTGTGTCCACTATCCCAGACAGCCTGCCTCCGGAAATAGCTCAGCTGCTCAGACATACTCAAGACTTGCTGTTGTCCTTTGCTTTCCTGCAGGGGTTAAAGCCAGCAGTTTCTGCAGAAGCACCGCCTATCATATTTGCCACACCGACTAAACTGACCTCCAGTGTGACAGCTTATGACTATGCTGGGAAGAACAAAGTTCCAGAGCTGCAGAAATTCTTCCAGGTGAGCGAAGACTGGAGCAGAGAACTGAAATGTGTTAGAATGTGTATGGGTGGGAGCTTCTGAAACTCAAGTTTACAGCTGTGTTGTTTCTACCCAGCCTCCTTTTGGTTTTAGTTTACTCCATTAGCATATAGAACCTATTTACAGGAAGATACCAGTAATAGAGGGAGGGTGGCCAAAGACCTCATCATCATGTAGTGTGCAGTAATTAATTTTCACATCGTTCACGTAGCATGGCTCCTCATAGTTATTGTAAGAGAACACAGGAGTGTATGTAATGACTAAATCAGCCCATGCCTACTTAAGTATGACACACACATACATGCACGCACACATATGCATACATACACACACACACACACACACACACATACACTTGAGCACGCGTATATGTGTATCTGTATCTGTATGTCACATGCGTGCAGAGGACAGAAGAAGCTGTTGAATCCCCAGGAACTGGAGTTATAGGTGGTTGTGGGAACTGACCAGAGAGCAGCAAGGGCTCATAACTGCTGAGCCATCTTACCAGCTCTGCGCAGTGACTTCAGGCTGCCAGTTTTCTTCTGTTTTTGGCTTGCTCGGTACTACAGGTCACTGCACTGTTGGTGGACATTGGATGCCCTCTTAGGTAGGTCATCAACAGAGAGAAGTGAGAATTGACACTTCAGTATGATTAATCTACTTAGAGATAACCAAGAACCTAATTACCTGACTCTTGAGTGCTGGGAGTGGCAGAGCCCACTACAGCTACCACTGCAAGTTGCTTCCCCCATGAAAGCATGTCCGGGTTCAGGTCCATCCTGGCTATCACGTAAGTCTTTTCAATCTGATGAGTGAGATGTAAGAGACTATTGGAATGTGTGTAAAACATGAATTAAATTTCCTACAGGAGAGCTTTAGCCAGCTGATGGAAGGAAGGCCAGCTGGTTACAAATGGGCCAGAGTGTTGCTGACTGCCCATGTTCTGACTGTTCTCTGAGCCAAACAAAATGCAGACATGCTCAGAGCATTCCTTGTGCCTGGGCTCTGTTTAGCTCTGATTGTCTTTGCTCTTTAAAAACTCCCCAGGGCCCTTCTCTTGGCAGAGTAATAACATGGTAAAGACCGTAGAAGCATGGGCTTTGCTGTATATTGTTGCCTCAGACCCTTTGTAGAGAATGACTTCATTCTTAAAATCTTGAGCTCCATTGAAAGGCAGTGTTCTGCCACTATGTGGTGCATCTAGGTTCCACTGTGTTGCCTTTATGGAGTTTCCATGGTGGACAGATTTTTCTCCCATCTGTTGTAAAAGCTTGTTTTATAAACCAGCTCATTGTCAATCCTTGCTTTCCAGAAGGCTGACGGTGTGCCCATCCACCTGAAACGAGGCCTTCCTGACCAAATGCTTTACCGGACCACCATGGCGCTGACTGTGGGAGGGACCATCTACTGCCTGATTGCCCTCTACATGGCTTCCCAGCCCAAAAATAAATGAATTAGCCTGTGGAGGACTGGTTTACTTGGTGGCACAAACCCTTTGAATTTTCAGTTTTCTGTGTCCCCCACCCCCACCCCCACTTGGATGGTCTGACATTTTTGCAAACAAAGGAAAAGATAAGAACACAAATGTTTTGGTTGTTAGTGAGATGCAGATGGCCTGTCAGATGTCAGTGCTGGTTTGACAGTTAATGCACTGTTGCAGGAAATGACAGCGAGCAGTGTTTGTGCTCCTGATTTCCCTGGAGGTTCTGGATGCATGTTGCTCATAGCCTCATTAATGGCAGGCAGTCTGTGCTCAGGGCCTCTGGGACATGGGCTAAGCAGGGACTGCAGAGTCCTTTCTGGGTTTAGTGTGACTGTGGAAGGAAGACAAAAGCTGGCGAGGTCAGGCATGTGAAATGAGGGGTTCGAGTAGGTCACCTGGGGGCTTTTTTCACCTTGCAGTCAAATGTGAATAGAAATTATTTGCAATCTGCCTCTGTTTGTTGGGCAGCTTGTTTGAAAGGGTTATTTACGTTGCCCGGCTCCTTAGTGAGATGTTATGTGTGTCCATCATGGGAAAGAGAACACCTGCAGGGTTGCACTTTAGACAGCCGCACCAGAAATTCTCATTTAGTAATGCTTCACTTGACTGTGGAATAAATACATCAGTAAAAATTTCAGTTTGGAATTATTTATTTTTATTTTATTTTTTAAAGATTTATTTATTATGTGTACTGTGTTCTGCCTGCATGTATGACTGCACACCAGAAGAGGGCAACAGATCTCTTTACAGATGGTTGTGAGCCACCATGTGGGTGCTGGGAATTGAACCCAGTACCTCTGGAAGAGCAGCCAGTGCTCTTAAACTCTGAGCCGTCTCTCCAGTCCCCTAATTTATTTTTGAGACAGTGTCTCACTCTGTTTCATTGGCTGACCTGGAACTCACTCTGTAGACCAGACTGGCTTCATACTCACAGAGATCTGCCTGCCTCTGCCTTGGGAGTGCTGGGATTAAAGTTGTGAGCCATCATGCCCAGCTTGACAGCTAGCATAAGATCCTGTTTAAAAAATAAAAAGGAAAAACAAAAAAAGCTCTTCCTCTTCTTCCAGGAACCTTAACTTCTTGCAGGGGTGAGGGTGTGGGGAGGCGGGGGGGGGGGGGAGTTGCAGCACCTCAGAAGCTCCTCACTCCCGTGATGGAAACCCAACATGCTTGTCTTGTGCAGTTCTCATGGAGTGGGGAAGGGGGACCGTGGTTGTTGGGAGTTCACCAGGGCACCACCAGAGGACAGCGTGTCACAACACTCCCCCTTCTTCTGGATCTTACATTCTTCTACATGCTCTTGGATGTCCCTTGAGATTTTGAGGGTGTGTTATAGCTGTCCCATCGTAAACACAAGGCACTGCAAAGAGAAGCTTCTCTGACCAAGGCTGACAGCACCAGTCTAGGGGCACAGAAGTGTGTTTTGAAGGCTTTTCATGAACATATTGTGCCGATTTAGCAAAACAAAGCACAGTAGCTTCCTCACTGGTGCCTGTGTTCTCCCCAGCCATGGGCTTTTGGCTGACTGCAGTGATGGAGGACTTTCTTCCTGTGGAGCAGCAGTTGTTTACTGGTGATACATTGCTTATGATCTACTAAAGCTACTGCACATCAGAGTACAAAGCCAGCCACACTAGTTAGCTATAGAAGCTGGGCAGTGGCGGCAGACACCTTTCATCTCAGGACTCTGGAGACAGAGTCACATTGATTTCTGTGAGTTTAAGGCCACCTAGGGACACATGAGAATGAATAGTCTAAGAGAAACAGCTCACACCTTTGATCCCAGCACTAGAGAGGTACATAGTGAAGAAGCAAAAGCTTTCCATCAGGGAAGACAGGAGCTCCATTTCAGCCTTGATAGAGGTAAGAGCTACTGGCTGGCTGCTTGCTTCTCTGATCTTCAGCTTGAACCCCAGTCTCTTCTCTAGGCTTTTATTTGTGTCACAGTTACTACTATAAAAAGTCATGGCACTGTTGTACCATTGGGTGGGCATACCTTACCTGGCATTTTGGTAGTGTAGCACTCAGGGCCCATTGTGGGGAAGGACCTCTGCTGTAGATTCTCCAGCAGCCTCTGTAGTGTCTTCTAAAGCCAACCCTCAGTGTGAGCTTCTAGCTCAGTCCCAGCTTGCCTTTGGTAGGCCTTGCAACCCAAGTGTTTATCGTCTTAACCAAAGAGGATCTTACCATGTGGTCCATGCTGGGCATAAACAACAGGGATGTTTCAGAGGCCTTGACCAGCAGCTCATCGGGAGGTAGTTTGTCACTGGCATGGGATTTTCATTCAATAATCTATGACTTCTAAGAGCATCGTTTTTCACCCACACAGGATACCTTCATTCAAACTCTCGTTTTAAGATTAATAGACAAGGGGATGTTGGGGGATTTTTCTTCTCTCTTTCATTAACCTTGGGTGCCATCTGTACCTTATTCCATCATGAAGGTCCTAAGAATTTCACAGCTGTGCCTGATCTTTGCATTGAGTATCAACTGATTGCCCATCTCCGGCCTTTAGATATTCTTTGGCTTTCAAATGCTCTTCTAAGTTTGCAGAGAGGTTAGCGTTCTATCTACTAAATGAAACCTTTAGCAAAGGGTGGGCAGGACCACTGAAGGCCCAAGGAACCAGCTAAAGGACCCCCAAAGAAAAATGTTAACAAGAGAACTATCAAAACTATCGTTTCCTCAAAAGATCAGTGTTGAACGTAGCATGGGTAGGAAGCACTATGCCAGGCCTTTGAAATCCAATTAGTCTTCATAAGCCCTTCTACTGTCTCATTCTGGGGTGCTGCACATTTCCTCACTGGCAGTTTTGGTGAGGTCAGGCCTGACTCCTGTTGCTCTGGCTGACTTGGGGTCACCAGGGAGCATAGCTATACCATCATCTGCTGTGCCTGGTTAGAGTTAGCATCTGGGACCTGACTGTCTCTGGGCCTGAGTGTGGCTGCCTGCTATCTCTTTGTTGACCACAGTTGCCTTTCTCACAGGCACTGGGTTGGGCGAACAGTTTCTAGCCCAGTGTTATTTCTGCACAGCTTACTCTCTAGGCATAACTGCCCGGCCCTGTGACAGACAAGCTTAATATTTTTTCTTTTTGAAAACTTGGTTTTATTACTGTATAAAAAGTACACACTCGCACTTTTTGTCTCCCTTATCCAATCCCCCTTGCCCCTCCCAGAGAATTGTACATGTCATTCAGAGATGGGTGGAGTGGTCAGGAGGCCCTTGTCTATCCCTTGTCCCCAGACTGATCCCCGGCTCACACCTATTCCCTGGCAGAATTTGACTTGAGGTAGGTGCAGGGCTTAGATTGCACTGCCAGGGCAGGAGCAAGAGAGCATTCCTGTCACAGAATAATCTTTTTGTACACTGTGAAGATGTGGTCTGCCAAGGCACCTTCAGATTGGTTTAATAAGGAGCTGAGTGGCCAAAAGCTAGCCAGGAAGATATTAGGTGGGACTTCGGGCAGAGAGAGGAAGAGGAGGTGAATCCAGGAGTACGAGAGAGGAGGGGACATGGAAACAGGAGGTGTAAGATGGAAGGAAGGTAAAAAGCCATAAGGCAAAACAGATTAATATAACTGGGTTAAATTATAAGAGAGTGGAACAAGCTTAAGTCGAGCTTTTATAATAAGTCAGTCTCCATGTCATTTTATTGTGAGCTGCAGGCCCAAAGAAAAATCCATTTACACATTCCTCTCCTGGAGGACCAGAGCAGATGTTGTCTGGCCAGGAAACATGGCAGAACTAAACTGTATTTAACATTTCTGGGGGTCAGGGTGTGGTGGTTTGAAGCATGGCGGGTGGCACTGTTGGGGTTTGGGCTTGTTGGAGTAGGTGTGGGTTTGTTGGAGGAAGTGTCACTTCAGGGGTGGGCTTTTAGGGCTCATAATTGTTCAAGCCACGCCCTGTAGAGTTTTTCCTTCTGCTACCTGTGGATCAAGATGTTGAACTCTTCAGCTCCTTCTCCAGCACCATGTCTGCCTGCGTGCCACAGTGCCCTGCCATGATGATAATGGACTAAGCCTCTGAAACTGTAAGCCACCCCAACTAAATGCTTTCCTTTATAAGAGTTGCCATGCTCATGGTGTCTCTTCACAGCAATGGAACCCTAAGACAAGTGGGCTTGTACAGCTGCTGTGTGAACACGGAGTCCTAAGGTTTATATCCCTCTACCCACAGCTTCTTCTCGGTGGCCTGGCCTGTGATGTCAGCCATCTGCCACCGCAGGATGGAGGTACTTGCTGGCAGGCCCACCCAGCAGCTGCAGGCCCCAGCTGGCCATTTCCAACTCATAAAAAAAAGTGAGGATACAGGAAGAGCGATCCTACAGTATACCAAAATCCGGGGAACCATTCAAGAAAATCTGGATGGAGGTTTAAGTCACCTCGAGACAAAAAATGTCTTTGGCCTGATGACCCCAAATCTTGTCAACTGAAGTAAACACAAGTCAACACTTCCAGGGGCAGATGGTCACGTACCAGCGGGAACCAGTTTAAGCCGAAGGACTGGTTCCATCATAAGTGCCCGCTCAATGTGTTCAGAGACTACCTGGGTGATTGGTCGGTGATTCAGCAGGTGCTAACTGCACTGTCCTGTCCCTTATGCTTCTTTTGCCCAGCCTTTGAGGCCTTCCAGGGGCTCAGTAACACCAAATTTGGCTTCTGCTAGGTTTCCTTCCCGGGCGTGCTCTAATCTTATGACCTCGATTTCAAGAGACTCAGACAAGCCCCCCCACCTCCTGCCTTTTCTGTTTCCTGTACCCTTCTGATTGCTTTCCAATTTTATGAACCTGTTCTATAGGCCAGTCTAAACCAGCCAGACTTCCATGTCCCACGTTCCATGGGGCCCAGGAAAAGCCAGTAAAATCTTACACCAACGTCCACATACCTACTGAATCAACTTTTGCAGGTGTGTGGAGTGGTGGTGTGTATATACATGAGTATGCATGTGTACACATTTGTGTGTGTGCCTGTGGAGGTCAGAGAACAGCCTCAGTTACCATTGCT